TCAACCATCGGTTGGAATATGAGAGTTAACCGACAGTGTTTTATTGAGTAGTTAATTTGATAGAATACAATGTGTAAAACGTTTTTATACGTAGACAGCTAGATAAGAAAAATATGGATATAGAGATTAGAGAGAGTTGCAGGCAGAGTTGGAAAGCAGAGGGGCTGTTGATTGATGCAAATCATCCACCATACTGATGGAAAAATAGAAGTACTTTTGCTTCCATGGATCGCAAGCTAGCTAAACTTTGAAAGTAATGTACAAATCATTTTTTAAAGAGACCTTTAGCAGGAATTGAAAAGGGGAAATGATTATCACTTAGCTTTAAGGAGAGCAATGGAGTGGCATTCGGGCCTACCAGTTAGAAAATTTTAAGAGAACTGATTTTAGCAAGACAATATAATATTAAGTACTTTCCTTTTAAAGAATGGTTGGTTAAGTTATTAAGTCATGGATGTGATATCTCAACCATCTGCTATTTACTTCTATAATTCAATATTACACTACTGTTTCCTCACTGTAATTACTCTTATAAATCTTCTCATGACCCTTCATTCTTTAAAGTAATTATATCAGTCTCTCTCGACTGGACCACTTCAATGGAGATTAAATTTTAACTTTTTTTTCTTTCTTAATATGATAACTGTTAAAATAGCATTGACTATAATGGAGTAGGCAAAATTAGAATTCACAGTGAGGGCATATAATTAATCAACCAACTTGAATATACTCAGATCCTGTTTTTAGAATTATAATAATGAGCAAAACCGACTTGTCGGGTAAAATGGGAGCTCTAACTTCCTCACTTAACTTTTTTCCTACTCCAGCAAAGCTGCAGGCAAGCCAACAAAACGAAGATTAATATCAATGTTGGGTGTTTAAATTGTTGCTTATGAAATATGTAACTGGATATGGAATGTGTAGGCCAAAAAGCCCCTTCATTTCCTCATTGGGATAATGTTCCCTAAAGAAAAGAAAAAAAATACGTGCATTATTTAACCTACAGAACTACATCCCAGAAAGCGACTGTAATGAACATTTTTTTTTTCTCTTTTCTTGTTCATTGTTAAAGGGCTTGTATTAATGCCTTCTCTTAATAGTGCTTTGGGCCGTCATTAGCATGGGAATTTGTCGAAATTGCCTCTTAATTAACTGGGCTAGACCCAGTAGAAATTCACCAGCTAGTCATATTAAGCTTTCACAAACCGTTGCCTTGCCTGTCTCTTAATTAGGCATAAACCCAAAACAATTACATATTGGTTGTAGTTAGAATTTGCCACGCTCATCCACCAAATTTATCAAATAATCAGACTCGTGGTTTGTTCTCACCAAGTCCGATATTCGAGCCCCCTTATCGACATTTGTATGGCTCCATATTAACACGTAGATTACCAAATACTATTATTTTGGCTTTTAGAAATTTGTTGGGTTAACTGTGTTGAAATCACAGAAATCACACCCAAAATACACAATAATAAAGCAGAAGCTAATAAAAAAGAGTCTACTAATCTTGTTTGTTCCCAATAAAAAATTACTCTAGCATTCAAATAGAATAGCTTTATTGAGTTTCAAAAATTTGTTGAATACAATAATGAAAGTATCGACAGTTTACTCTTTCTCTTTATTTCTCATATTAGGTTTTCTAAAATCTAATCACATTCGAGCTAAACTCTGACAGACACATATAACGCTTCTATGGAGATACGTAATTTAATTTATGCTAATAGAAAGAAAGACTAGAAAAGAAATAAATAAATAAAGAAATAGAAACAGAAAACAGAATAAGAAAAATAGAAAAGAAAATGCATAATTTATGCATTTGTGCATTTGCATCATGAATATGCATAATACCATACTTATTATCATGGGTAGTGAAAAAATTAGAAAACAGAGAGAAAAATAGAGAGCAAAACAGAGAAAGAACAGAGAGAAGAATAGAGAATACTCGGGAAATGAGTTGTAAAGAAAGAAATTCAGGATTTAAGCAACGGAGAGAGAATGGTAGCATAGCGGGTTTACTTACTGAGTCATTAGTGTTCACTCCGTTATTTTTAATGTTTTACAGGTAATAGGTAAGTTGCGATTGCTCAGAACATCACGCAGTGGAAAGGTTGGACTACACTGTCAAGTTGCTATTTTTTAGAATATTTTGTATATAAAGAAAAATTAAATATAAGCCCATACTTTATTACTCGTATACATATGTGCATTTTCTTATATATATTTTTAATAAGTTTTAATGATTATTTTACGAGTATACTAGCTAGAAAGAAACCATTATAATATAAATATTTACAAACCAACTTTAAGTTCGTTTACTAATTAGACTTACCAGGAAAGGGGCAACTGAGTCGAAACCAACATTAATCAGGTGCAAAGTATTAAGAAAAAAACATAATTAATTTGCTAATCTCAAGTTAATTACTTACTACGTGCGGTTTATTAATACTATAATCTTCACTTAATTATATACACTTACAGTGAGTTTTCCTCAGTCAATGTCGTTGACTACCATATAAAACAATGCTATTAATTAACCTCTGTCAATTCTAACTTGTTAGAAGGTTTTGTCAAAATTGATTAAGAAAATAATGTCCTTATTGCAGTAGGTGAATTCCTGTTTACGCCTTGACGGTCAGCTGATCCCTGAATTCAATATCACGTTTTTTTTTTTTTTTTTTTGTTTTTTTAGTGATGAGTAATGTCTTTGATTTACATATAATTTAATTAATTTTCTAGAATCTTAATACTTTTTTTTATGACTATAAATATTCGAATTAGTTTACATACACCTCAATTAATCATTTGGAGTCATAGAATTATTAATTGGGTAAAAACTCTAATAATTATCTCAATTAACAATCGTAGAGTGATTTTAAATTTAAGATTTTTTAAATAATATGTCTAAAAAATTCTTATCAAACCATTCCACCAACAAAAGGTTGTTTTACAGTTCCCGGCTTCTTGACAAATGAATTATAATAAACAATATAAATTGTCTTTGCTTTATGTTTAACTAGGCCATTTGGCTTAAGGTTCGTGACTTGTGTCATTAGGTAAGTAATTAATTAAGGAAGAGCTTATTAGAGGTGATCACATGTTTATTGATGTGACATTGCCTTATTTAAGATCTAATAATTGTTCATTGTAGTGGTATACTTTGGAATATTTAACGCCAAATGTACCTGTTGATACCCTAGTTTAAAACAAAGATCTAGAATGAAACAACGAAATCAGTGGCTAATACAATTATTAATCAATTAAACCTTGCTCACAGAATAAGACTCAACATATATGTTAATATATTCTGACAGCTAATCTAATATTTTCTTAATCTCTATAATAATGAAACCTTTAAATAAATCATCTGAGACTGTTACCCAAATATTTAAACATAATTTACATATCTAACACAAACTTCTCATGTCTTAATCACTTCATTAAATTGTATTTTATCACTTATTCAACTCTGGTCACAACGTGTGAGAGGGTATTTGAAGATTAAAAATAATTTTTCAAAACCCTAAAGGGTCTGTCTAGCGATCAAGGCGGTTTGTTTCCTTCTTTTCTAGGTTCAAATCTTGAGACTACTTATTATAATAATATTGTAGTTTACCTAATTCTTTAGACTTGTAGAATGTTTACTAAACGTTGAGATTGATTGGGGTACGTACAAACTTGGACGCCTCATTTAGACGGTTACCAAAAAGAAAAAAATAAAATCCTCGGATGAAGAAGAATAATAAACGATAAAACCAGAAAGTTGAGCATTAATTGTTATCATATATTGTTGGGGCGGGGCCAAGCGAGGCCGGCTATGGATCTCATGAACTCTGAAGTATCTGTCAAATGGGGATTTGGGATTTATGAAAGTGAGGCATGGCCGGGCATATTCATATTGGTCATGGTCATGGTCAGGTGTATAGTATTAGTAAACAAACACGTTGACTTGTGGCAAATATTCCACCTCAATCAAATATTCCACATGGTTGCTTACTTGCTTTCATATTTTTCACAGTCAATTCAAAAAGCTTCATATATTTTATTAGCCTTTACTTTATAAAAGTTTCGTCTTTATTAATTTTTCAACATGTTACCATCATACTTGCATATGAGCTTCTTTAAATACAAAAGCATTGAGCTAATTTTGAACTATAATTTAAAAAAAAAAAAAAAATTAATCACAAATTAGAAGTTAAAAGTCCCATTGGTGGGTCGGAAATCCTGGGTCAACCTCGCCCATTTACTATAAATAACCCAGGAAAAATGTTATCAAATCTACATCAAAATCCAAGCTGTCAATTGGCCAGCTATATCACAGGGCCACCATGAAGTAATCATCAAATCGAGGGAGATACGATTGGATGGAGTGAATGGCCGGCAAGCAAAGAGCTATGTTGTGGTGGGGAGCATTGGAATAGCAAGTAAAACGATCAAGGGGGTGCGTGCGCAAAGGCTGATCGTGCGTGAGCGTAGTAGTGAATCAAAATGACTCGGTCAAAGAAACCCTTTTACTTTTTTTTTTTTCCAAATTTTCTCTTTTGGCTCTGACATTGAAGAGGGTGACCTGTCTTATGCAAGAACGAACTACGCGTCAAGAGGAGCGATCAACTAGAGCAATAAGCCAATTCTTAAAAGGATGGTTTTACATTTATAGCCCTTCTTTCCAGTCAAACTACCAAATTGCCATTTAAAGCTACTAACCTTGTACTAATTTCAATTTTTTTTATATATATTTATGTTAACCAATTCTATGATAAGATATTATGGCATTATTTAATTTCTGATTAATACATAAACTGGGCAAACACTACACTATTAAAGGGAACTTAATCGTATCCTTTGTACAATAATGGAGGGCAATAATGGGCAAATTGGGAATAAAAGGTAAAATACAGCCAAGTCAGCGTCCCCAATAAGGAAGAAGAACCGGTCTCGTCCTAGACAAGCCGTGGCCACGTATTTTGCCCCGTATATAACTTGTTAATCAAACCTCCTTTATCTTAAAACTCTCTGACTTCTTCTTCTTCTTCTTCTTCTTCTTCCTCTTCTTCTCTGTTTTCATATCATTTCATTTCCTTCCCTTTGTTTTTTATGCTAACTTTTTCTCACCCAACAAAAAGTGTCTCTTAATCATATATTATCTTCAAGATATTTTGATTACAATGCCTGCGACAGATTACCAGGGTTCGTTTCTCGGCCGAATTAGTATTCGCCGGAACCAAGTCATGTCCATGGAGGGAAACCACGAACAAGAACTCGAAGACCTGGAGCTTTTTCAGAAACACGTGGCTGATCGTTTCGCTGATTTGTTACCACCACAACCGTCGGATGAAACCCACACCGACCCTCTTCTCTCAATCTCTTGGCTTCGTAAACTCCTGGACGCGTTCCTCTGTTGTGAGGCTGAATTTAAAGCTATTTTGATCATGGGTCGTGAGACATCTCAGATTTTGAAGCCACCTCTCGATCGCTTGATCCCTGAACTGCTTGAAAGAACGGTGAAAGCTTTAGATATTTGTAATGCGATCACCAACGGGATTGAGTCCGTGAGACACTATCAAAAATTGGCTGAGATTGCGGTCACTGCCCTGGAGAATAAACCAATTGGTGATGGGCAAATTAAGCGAGCTAGGAGAGCGTTGAATTCGTTGGTAACTGCAATGACTACTGAGGACAAAGACGGGAACAATTATACGAGAACTTGGTCTTTTGGACGCCGAGGTGCTGCTTCAGGGAATAATAAAGTCACGGGTCAATTGAGATCACTTTCTTGGTCCGTGTCTAGAAACTGGTCCGCAGCGAGACAGATTCATGCTTTGACAACAAACCTTGTGGCTCCACGAGGCGGCGAGTCGTCAAGTTTGGCTTCGACGGTTTATGTAATGAGTACTGTTATGTTGTTTGTGATGTGGGCTATAGTGGCTGCGATTCCTTGTCAAGAGAGGGGCGGATTGGCTACACACTTTCCTGTGCCTAAACAATTGGCTTGGGCTCAGAGTATGATTGTTTTGCATGAAAAGATTGGCGAGGAATGGAAGAAGAAAGAAAAGAAAGGATCAGCTGGGTTGCTTGATGAGATGCAAAAGATGGAGAAATTGGGCCAGTCTTTGATTGACTTTACTGATAACTTTCAGTTTCCTGCGGAAGATGAGCGGGTGGAGGAGGTGGCTACACAAGTGGCGGAATTGGCGGAGACTTGCCGGAAAATGCAGGATGGTTTGGTTCCTTTACAGCTCCAGATTAGGGAAGTGTTTCATAGAATGGTTAGAAGCAGAACCGAGATTCATGACTTGTTGGAGTCAAATGGGAAACTTTCCGCACCCATGGTATAAAGATGTGCTGGGGTTTCTTCTGGGTCGAATTCTGTGGAAAAAAAAAAGATGTCTTGATGAGCTCTCTTCAATGTAGAAAAATCATTGAGGCAATATATTGTTCCCAGGTTCAAGGTATAAACATGGCTACTTTGAGTCTGCGATGTGGATTTGGATTCAGGTTCATCTTGTTAGAGTTTAGCTACTAAAGTTGTGGAGAAATATGCATTTCCAAATGTGAAATGTAGTGTTTTTTGTTTTATTTATTTATTTATTTTTATTAACCGCTTAAGTACAGAAACTTTTCTCTTCAGAGAAATGTATATAGATTAGTCATAAATCTTTGTACTTCAAAGTTAATTAAAAAGGAAGTTCTCCAAATTCAGAATGCGGTGTATGAAATCCTGTTAATTTTATCAGGTTCAAGTAAATTTCTGCCAAATCTGTGACAAACCCATTTCAGAGCCAATATCGCTGGTTTGAAAATCTGCTTTTATTCTATACTTACTCATGATAAACAAAGTTAAACGTACTAAATATAAATTAATCCTTCTTTTTCCCCTTAAAGTTAGCCACCCGCATACGGTTTTGCGGTTGGGAGGATTGAGTTTTTTAGATGGGAAAAAATTTGGATGGCTGTGACAGGTTGTTCCCTCATAAAGAAAATATCATCCTGATTTTACACATGTAATGCATTATCAATGTTTTTGCTTCAATGGGCATGGTCATAAAAATCATTTAATACAGCTAATTTACCTCAATTGCCTTTTCATATTAGAGTGTGATCTTCAATTGGATAAAACTAGAGCCTGTTCACACCATCTTATGCACAAATATCTAGAGACTTTAGCCCGTTAAAGCCTCTGATGCAATTGAGTGGTAGGCTAGGCCGGTGCACTTTACAGATGATTTAAGTCCAATAAACGTTTGTCATTCCGTTTGGTTCAGTAATTTTAAGCTCAAACTTTGTGCCCAAGCTAATAAAACCAAACGGGCCAACCCAACGGAAGCATGGACAGACGCAGACCAAAACAATTTTCAGGAGCCCATGCCCATCACGTCTCCTGACTAAACGCACCGTTTGGACTCCAGAAAAACCTCCCAAGAAACTGTCAAGTGTCAACGGCCTTGAATGGCGAAATGCCACATTACAAAGATTGTCTGACTAATCCAACTGCTCCACAACTCTCTCTCTCTCTCTCGTATTATTTGAAGTCATGACCTTTGGATAGCTTGTAGAGCCATCACTGCTTTAATAATTTATTACTATAGTTCTGTATTATTATATAATTACAAGCAAAGAACACTCCAAATTCGATGTCTACAGGTCCAAGCTCCAATCACAGAGTCACACATTCAACTTCTCTGTTATTATCTTTATGATCATCATCAAACCCTAATCTCTTCGTCTCATTTCTGTGTCTAATCATCTGCAGCTAGAAAACTAATGGCGAACATTTCAAACTCGATGTCATTAAAGCACGGGCTCTCTCTCTGGTGCCCTCACTCTTCATCACTCAATCGAGTTCACCATTCTTCTTCACTACCTTCTGGTGTAAGATTCCAGAGAAGGAGATACGTCGTCGCCTCTTCAGCTTTTGCCAATGAAAACCGAGAGTAAGTTTTCCATTAAAAAAATTTAAATTTTTAAAAAGTTGTTATAATGAATGTTTGAGTTAATTGAAAGCGCTTTTGTTAGGTTTGTGATAGTTGGAGGTGGCAATGCAGCCGGATATGCGGCGAGGACTTTCGTCGAACATGGAATGGCTGATGGACGCCTTTGTATTGTCTCTAAAGAGGTGATTCGCCTCTGTGATTCCTTGATTGATTGATAGTGGAAATGTTATACTATCAGTATTGGCCTGACTTAGATTTATTTGTACTTTTACTCTATATCTAAGTTCGAGTTTTTTTCTGTTCTTCCTGAGCACTATAACGTGAAATTATTGGTTATTTGTTATTGCAGGCTCATGCGCCTTATGAGCGTCCAGCTTTGACCAAAGGTTACTTGTTTCCTCCAGACAAAAAACCAGCACGATTACCTGTAAGAATTTTTAAATATGTGCCCTCTTTTTATTTTTGGCAATGTGTCATCCTTCAATACTCACTTTGAACTTCATTGTTCATGATTATTAGTTAGAGCGGGCATGTTTAGTTTATCAAAGAGTTATGAGAATTAGGTAGCTAAATTGTTGTACATTTGTAACCATGGATCTGCATAATTCATGGGTTTTGATGTATATGTTATAATGTGTGATTTTATTTATTTATTTTTAATAGATTAGTTTAGTGCTAGCTTCGAATTGTTGATATTGATGTTATATATCCTGTTCCTGTCTTAATGTTTTGGATTTGATTTATTGCAGGGTTTTCATACTTGTGTTGGATCCGGTGGGGAAAGGCAAACTCCTGAGTGGTATAAGGAGAAAGGGATAGAGGTATTTGTCTTTTTTGAGTGTTCTCTCTTTGCTTAAGGTTTTCATTTTAACATTTGGTGTTTGTGTTTGTAATGTTTGGATGAAGTATTCATACAAGTCTGTGCTGTGCGTTTGTCTCCTATACATGAATGTCAGTAATATGTGAAATACTAGTAAGTGACGGTTATTTTCATGTTTTCTTCAGATGTTGTATGAAGATCCCATAACAGGCATTGATATCGAAAAGCAAACCCTGACAACAAATTCAGGCAAACTGCTCAAATATGGATCCCTTATAGTTGCTACTGGATGTACAGCCTCAAGGTGCTAACAGTCTGTCTAGTTATTGATTTATGTAGCTGTCTAATTTAAAGCAAATACACTAATAGGCTTAAAAATAAGAAACACTTATATTTTAACCTTCTTGTTGTTAGATTTCCAGAGAAAATTGGAGGAAATCTGCCTGGTGTTCACTATATCCGAGATGTGGCAGATGCTGACTCATTGATATCTTCTTTGGTACTTTTAGCTGCATTTGACTTGCAAACATCTTATTGTAGTTTTGTCAATTTCCGCTTGAAATTTCTGAGATATAATATGTGAAGGAATGTGAACTTATTTAAATGTGAATCCCAAATTTGCAGATAAGTTTAAGCAATGCATGAATACATCTCTCTCTTGCTTGCTTCATTATTATGTGAAAGGCTGAATGTTTAGGTGCAAATAGTTGTTGAAAGAAAAAAAAGTTTAATAAAATCTAGGCTTTGTTAATTGTAACTTGATTCTGAGCAGTTTATCTACTTAATATTAAGGGTTGCCGATAGAAGACATTACTATATTTAGCCTGAATTATTTAGTTGTCTCCATTTGGCGGTATTATGAATGGAGCTAGCATACTATATGCTCTGCTTTATTACAAATAGGAATTTCTTTTCTCAGCCATCTGATAAGCAAAGATATTTATTCCCCTGATTGTCCCTTCACGTCAAAAGCATTGTGCTGCATTAATAGCTTTCTGTAAGCCTAAAATTAAATAAGCTTTGGGCTCATTCAAATGTAATTTTGACAGTAGAGAACCTTGTAAGAATTGATTCAGAAAGCTATTTTTTTTAATAAGTATTTTAGTTCAATTAAAATGCAGTGGCTGAAACTTACAAAAATGATATAATACTTTGGACTGTATTGCTATCTTTTTCTAATAGAACATCTCAATCTGTTTCTAGGAGAAAGCAAGGAAAGTCGTTATTGTTGGTGGTGGTTATATTGGCATGGAGGTTGCAGCAGCTACAGTTGGTTGGAAACTTGATACAACGGTATGTACATATGTCCGAAGCTTCTATGATTAATTGAATGGGTTCTGATGATATCAATAGACTTGAAGAATTTTGAAATTTCAGCTACTTATCACATTTCTAGATGCGTTTCTTTTCTTGAATTTTGTTGTTTGTTCATTTTGTTACTCACCTATTGGGAACTCATTCATTTTGGAAGCAAAGAAAAGATATTCTGTTACCAATATCCAACCATTGCTAGCGCATTCATATTCAATGATCAGTGTTCCCCAAATGTTTCCATTCTTGATCATTGGAAAGAAAAGATATTCTATGATCCATTTTGGCCATGACTTTGCATTTTATTGTAACTACTCTATATTGGGATCTGTTTTATGTAGCTCATTAATTTATTTTGAAACAGAAAAAAGTAAAAGATTCATGCTTTCTGATGCACAAGTCTTTATATCTGTTTCTGGCCAACTTTTGTGCATATGTTTTACTTTGTGATATTGATAGATTAATTCTAATAAATCTTTGACATTGTAAGTTTTAATTGATTTTTCTGTTAAAAAATAGGTCATATTTCCAGAGAATCACCTCTTGCAAAGATTGTTTACACCTTCACTTGCTCAGAGATACGAAGAACTATATAAAGAGAATGGTGTCAAATTCTTGAAGGTAGTCTCTCTCTCTCTCTCTCTCTCATCACAGGCACAAGCACATGCACATGCATATGCGAATGCACTTCTATTGCTATTAAACAGCTGCACATAACTTTAGCCAGATTCACTAGAATTTTTCTTTCTTTAATATATCTTGTTTCAAAATTTACCAGGGTGCCTCCATTAAGAACTTAGAAGCTGGTTCTGATGGAAGTGTAGCTGCTGTTAAACTTGAAGATGGATCTACCATTGATGCAGACACAGTAATTCTTTTTTCTTCATGTTCTATGATTCTTCTTTAATTAAACTGTCCATTTATGTTGAATGATAGTATTACATGTTTTTATGTATGAAATGTAACTGTTTCTTATGAGGCTTGTTTCTTCAGAAGATGTACAGGAAAAGTTGATAATAATAAAATTTCCTTGCCCCATGCTTTTGTTGTGCAGATTATTATTGGTATTGGAGCAAAACCTGCTGTCAGCCCCTTCGAAAGGGTGGGACTAAATAGTGCTGTTGGAGGAATACAGGTGATATGGTCAACAAGTTTTATGCTGTCTTTGATTCTTCAGTATTGTCATGCACATGCAGAAAAACATGTTTATGTATAATATATAGATATCTATGATCTTAAACTTTCCAAATGTTAGGTTGATGGTCAGTTTCGTACAGCTTTACCTGGAATTTTTGCAATTGGAGATGTTGCAGCCTTTCCATTGAAGGTACATTTTTCTCAAAGCAAGCAGGACTTATTTTCCTGTTTCACAATCTAATAATATTCGTGTTTGCCGAACAGATCTATGACCGTATGGCACGAGTTGAACATGTAGATCATGCTCGTCGATCTGCACAGCATTGCGTTAAAGCATTACTTAGTGCACATACTCACACGTATATCTTTTTCCTTTCTATTCTAACTTTTTAGTCTTCTTCTTTCCTGCTGAAACATCCTTGTTGATGATTTGCTTTCTTCATGACATCCAGATATGATTATCTTCCATACTTTTACTCGAGGGTTTTTGAATATGAAGGGAGCCCCAGGAAAGTCTGGTGGCAGTTTTTTGGAGACAATGGTGAGAATCTCATTTGTGTTCATTTTTGCACCTTGTCCTTGGAATTTCTTTAACTTGGTTTCATAAATCCTATGTTATAATTGCTACTGTAATCATATTGCGCAGTTGGAGAGACAATCGAAATTGGAAATTTTGATCCTAAAATTGCTACTTTCTGGATTGATTCTGGTAATATAAGCTCTGTCACTCTCTTTCTCTCTACTTTAGTATCTTGTTTTTTTCCTTTTATTTGACAAAAGAGATGATTAATTCACTGCTGCTGCCCTCCAGGCAAATTGAAAGGAGTTCTTCTGGAAAGTGGGAGTCCTGAGGTACTTTCCATGAACAATTTAAATTGTTGAGATTATGAATCAGTTTTGACTGAATGGTTTGTGAACAAGATGTCAAGCTAGTTATTTTCTTGTAGAACTCTAAAATTTTCAAAAAAGTTAAATTTACTAATAGCAAGGCAATCTAAGCATAGAAGTTAGGAGGAGGGGATGTGTATAAACTTGTCACTATCTGTCCTTGAAGTTGAACAAACTACTTTAACTCTACAGAGAGTTGCAACCTGCAAGTATAATTCATAAACATGTATTTTGTCCATTATTAAACTAATGGCATGTTGTACTACTTTCAGGAATTTCAACTCCTTCCTAAACTAGCGAGGGGTCAGCCTTTTGTTGACAAGGCAAGGCTTCAACAAGCGTCTTCAGTTGAGGAGGCACTGGAAATCGCTCAGACATCCCTACAGGCTGCAGTTTAGTCGAGTTCTATTCGATCAACTCCAGAAGTTCCCAGTAATCACTTGGAGTATTTTCTACTCTGATTAAATTATCAATAATCTCACACGGGGGTGTACTGCTTGTTATCTAATCTCTTTATCAAGTCCTGTCCCTTCACTTCTTTAGTAGAATTATTTTACCAGACGATGCATGGTAGAAAGCAAACACACTTGAGGGCAAGAAAAGGGATGACCACAGACAAAGGCGTTAAATAATCATTATAGACTGTTTACTGTTTATATTATTTAACAGCAGCCTGTGCATTTTTGGGGACTGGGTTTGGAGCTTTTGATAATTTTTTTTTTTAATTTTTAAAATCGAATAAAATGTCTGTTGATGGCTTATATTAATCTCTCCTCGACATGTGCTTCATAAATACAATTTTATTTGAATTATGTAGAGAATGTGTTAAATAAACTAGTACATTACATTTTTTTAGTGTACCAGTAAATGTGTGTTGTCATGAATGAATATGGTAATCATCCAAATTTAATAAAATAAAAATAAAAAACATAATGAATAGGTAAGGAAAAAGTACATCCTTAGGTAGCTCAAGTGGCGAGTGTTGGGATGTGTGATTAAGGTACACGGTCTTAGATTCGAATCTCTCTAGGTCCCAAGATTTACATGTGAGGTTGTGATAGTGGGTTGTCTCGTTAGTCTCTTTTGAGGATTAGTTAAGGTGCGTGTAAGTTGATTTGAACATTTTTGTTGATGCTTGATTTTGACACTAACGATTCATACGTGCAAAGTGCTAAGCGGATTTAAAAATCACATGTGATAAGAAAACATGAAATGAAACAATGAATGAGAAACGATATTTAAAGTGGTTCGAATGCTCAAAAGTGAATCCTACGTCCACTGTTATTTTATTAATAGATTGGTAAAATCAGGTCGCGTGTGACGAGTTGAGTTATAATCTAGAAAGAAAAAAAAAAAAAACAAAAAATGTGTAAGCTATTTTAGATTAAGATTAGCCAATCCCGTAAATGAGAGGGGTGTCCTCTATTTATAGTGGGAGAGTTCAAGGTAATGATTACAAGTGGGTAGGTGCCGTGCAAATCCTTCTGTGCGTCCCATTAGTTATCTGCACGAGAAATATCCTCAAATTGCGTAGAGCTTGGGCAGGTGGATAATCCCTGACGCCTTGCGAGCTTAGCATTCACCTGCTGCACTGACAAGAACCATTCCTCTTTCGTCACCGCGCGAGGTGGCAGCGCCTGGACGGCACAAAACCTTCCTAAATCTTGATTGGCTGTTGCTGATGAGAGTCCACGTCAGCCTTAACTTTACAAGCATAACATAAGTCCCCCGGTTTTTAAGGTTTAAGGATTGAACCTTGAGAACTTCATGATTATGCCGCGATTTGACTTGTCCCGTACGACGTTTGGTCGAGCTGATTGAGCTGCAAGGAGGTCGTAGCACATGTCTCTAAGGGTAGCACAAGCAACCTGAGATGACCTTCTTCCACAAATTCAACGACTTGGATCAAGCCCCACTCAATGTCGTACCAGTGTGTTGCAAATCTCATCCGCGATCCGCGACTTGAGAATATTAGCATATTTTTACCAAGGACAAGAAATCGCATTGTCTCGAAATTGATACACAGCGAAGAGTGTTATGCCCCAACGACCTCTTCCGATGTTATCCGTTGCGCTTGACAGCTAATCCGTTTAATAAAATAATCTTTATTCTGACAGATGTGCCTAGTGCTCAATAAGTGCCAACCACGCGCATTAAATGCAAGCCATGTTGAAACGACATTTCCTTTTAGGACATTAAATGCGGATGAGGGCGCATTTAATATGGAGGAGATAATCGAGTTGTCGTTTGGTTGTTCCAATGGAGGGAAGCATCGATTGGCATTCTCGAAGCGTGGCGGTTACTTCTTCTCGTGGATTGATGACATGTGGACGCAATCAATGACTAGAAACATATTCTGCCCAAGCGTCGCTTACCTTAGGGAAATCAATCGTTGCTTCCTCCCCCTATAAAACCTTAGGCTCGCCTCAAGCTTTGTCACAAAACTCATACTTTCAGAGAAAGAACAAAGCTCTCACGAGCCAGTCTCCCCTTTTCCCAGTTGGTGCACACCCTTTGTTTACAACAGAAAGTCCGTTCCCCGCAGCCAAGAGATAAGGAGGATTTCTCCTTTGCTTTTCTTTTACTATTTTGTTGATAGCTTGTCTTGACGATAATAGTGGGTATGAACTGTTTGGTAAACCTTCGTGGTGCATATTTATGGGCAGTTGTCAGGAGAATGTTTTTTCTTTCACAAAGAGTAAGAATTTAGGGCATGAATCCTTAGGGGTGGTCCCCAAGGGCTTTTAGGGTTTAAAGAAGGTAAATTAGGGTTTCTTTTTTTTGTTCTTCCACGTCGTTGTACAGAATACTGTATGAAGACTAAATTATCTTTGCATGTCGCCCCTTTTTTAGACCTCAGGAGTGATGGATGCCTCAGCGACCAGGACAACTGAAGGGAAGAGCTCGCATGCGCAAGACGCCTCAACGGGTCCTGTTTAAGAGATTTTATTAGTGGCCACCCGAGATGAGATATAAAAGGCAGTGGACTAATACGCACTTAGCGTGGACGTCTACTAGCACAGAACATATACATCTTAGAATCCCCCAAAGGGAATGGCCGCGATCTCCGAGGCGATCTTCAAATGCTGGGCATTGATATCTTTTCACCCCTTCATTAGGTTGATCCTCGATCATTTCAAGGTCACACCACTGCAATTGATGCCCAACGCATATATGATAGTTGTTGCTATGTATATAGCATGTGGTGAAAATGACCTCGGCCAGTTGACTGTGCTGGAGCTTGCATGCTCCTATTACCTGAAGAAGAGCAAGGATAAAGACTCTTTTTACATCTCGAAGCAATCTATGATCGAGGGAGGCATATTTGGTTACCCTAGTAATGTCGGGGCCTATGAAACCAAATTTTTCTTTTTTCAATATGATGGTGTCTACCAATTTAAGGAACTGAGTAGGTTTTCCCATCTTTTACTTTGCGAATTTTTTCTTTTCCTTCAGCCTTTACTTTCTAACAAACGTTTCTGTCTCTTTGTAGGAAATAAGACGACCAGGTTGTCGACTCTAACTGATTTTAACATAATTGTAGCATTCGGTAATCTGCCCTAGCAAAGTCACGACGCGAGATTGCTTATGACTACCACCAACCTGAGGAAATATGGTTTCTTCAATTCTAAAATGTCTTTGGAACCCTTAGTTCGTAAGTGTCCGCTTACTTTAGAAATTCTTTCTTTTGCATGCAGTGAGCTTTTTCACTAATCATGCTTTCATGCAGCGACCATGTCGCTCAAAGTCCCGAGACCGACGACAAGGACCAGGGGGTTCATTTTTCCCCAAGTCGCTCTGATTGAGCTAGCCGAGATGATACCCCCATCGGAGGGACACAGGTGGGAAAACGCATACCCACAGAACGACAAGGGGAAACTTCTCGGCCTGCGGCTGTTCGTGCCCCCAGGCAGAAAACCATGAGCCAAAAAAACTAAGAAGAGAAAGCAATTGCGGGCTGAGGAATCAGAGTCTGAGCTAGAGGGCTCAAGGGTACAGCCAGGGAGGTCACAACCTTACTAGGCCTTCTACTCGAGGTGATCCCGAGGTCCACACCTTGCATTTTGATAGTCCCAGAGCCTTCAGAGGACAAGGTGAGGTCGCGGTCCGCCCAAGGAGAACGGGCAAAGAGCCGATTAGCAGGGCAGACACACCTGTGTTGGACTCTACGGGACAACTTTCGAAACACTTACAGCCGGTGGCGTATATCCTATTGGAATGCCAACTTGCTGTGGCTTTTAAAGAGTTCTTGGCCTTTCGACCTGCGGACCTGATTACTACAGCGCTCCAACTGTAAAGCCAGGTAAGGCAGCTCGTTTTCATCGAGGATTTCCAAATATCGATTGGTTTTTATACCCATTATGTTTTTCAGAAAAATGGAGTTTAACCATTTTTTCCTTTCTCACGCAGTCTCTACTCGACTTGCACTTGACCCAATAAAAGACCGACCTGGACTCTACTAGGGGGCTCCATGAGCTGAAGGAAGAAAATGAGAAGCTGAAGCAGGACATGGTGGTTGTGAACATAGAGGCAAAAGCATACCACATCCAAGTGAATCAATACTTGTTAGAGAGGAACTCTGCCCTTCGCATAGTAGAGTTCCAGAAGGCCGAGTTATAGAAGAGAGGCGAAGAGATCAAGGAGCTCCAGAAGACAGTGGCCAGACTCACCAAAGAGTGTGGCGAGAAAGAGCAAGAGCTACAAGCAAACTTCAAATGGGCCATGAAGGCAGAGGAAGAAAGAGCTCGGTTGTGGGAACACACTGAGAAGCATAAGAGAGCACTGGAGACTGACCTCGAGCTTGCCTAAGGGCGAGTTGCTTCATTAACTGATCAAATGAATCAGCAAAGCCTGGAAATTGAGAGGAAGGCCGCTGACTGGGCGATTCAGGCCATCTATAGCTTGCTGCCAAGGAACTCGGGGATGGACCTTTCTGACCTTCCGATTGAATACTAGAACATCCTCACTTCCATGGCGAATGCTGATAATGACATCGAGGAGGAGGAGGGACAAAAGTGTCCTCCAGAGGGCGATTATCTGGAGGAATATGTCCTAGAGGACTCAGCAGTTGATCGGGTGGTCAGCGATTAACCGGGGGATACTAAGGTCGCACCTGCAAGGCCTAGAGGTGGACACCATTGATTATTTTTTCTTGCTTTTACACAGCCTTGCTTTTAACTTTATTTTTGCATTTCCTAATTCTCTGTACTTGTCGCCATTACATATATAAATAAAAGAAATATTTTTTAGCCATTTGTGATAGCAGTTATAATTTTGCATACTCCACAAGACTAATGTTAAATATGCGAACAGAAAGTTTGTAAAAACATTGCAACGAACAAGATCATACAAGACAAATTTGCTTAAGAGCGATCTTATTTACAAAGCTTACAAGGAAATTTTTTGACAAGGAAATTAAAAATTAAAAGCGAGTTCGGGATTACTGGTAAGGGTGAAGATGCTCAATATTCCAGGCTCACAATACTTCAGAATCATTAAGTCTTTTGAGGTGATACATCCCTGGTCATATCACCTTGGCGATGCGGTATGGGCCTTCCCAGTTAAGTCCTTTACGCTCGGTTCCCTTGTACCGAAAAGGACTTCTTTTAGAACTAAGTCGCCGACCTAAAAGTCTCTTCTGTTGACCTTAGAGTCGAAGAACCTTTTTGCATGTGTCTGGTTGGATGCTATCCTTAACCGAGCCTTGTCGCGTTGTTCTTCAACTAAGTCCAGACTTGCATGTAGAAGTGCTTCATTGTCTATTTCATTGAATAGGTCTCTCCAAAGCAAACCAGTCCCTACTTTCACTAGG